AGTACAAGGAAGTGGACTCTTCTGAAGAAGCCACCAGCAAAGCAACCCAAGTACTTAGCATTTCTCATAGCAAATTAATGAAGTTAAATAGGCTGAGGACAAACAATATAGTGTTTAAGTCTGCAGACTGGCTGCAGAGATGAATGGTGACAGATCAGAAACTGAGACCTGTTTCTCCCTGTTTTCCTCCCCTACCCCACTCACTCAGAAGAAAAAAAATTAAATTATCTTTGCTCTACTTGACTTGAACTAAAAAGTAAATCCCATATTACGTGCACTGCAGCAGATTATTTGTAAAGCTGGCATTTTTGAGATGTGACATCATCATAAAGGTGGATTACAGATGTCCAAAGGAATCAGATTTCTCCAGCTCCCAAAGACAGAGTTTAAAATCTTCCTATGCTCCAGGTCCTGACCTATCTTCCCGAAAAAAAGAAAACAAAACCCACAAACAAACAAAAACCACTCCTCTATGCATTCTACAGCTTCTAGCCAAATTCCTTACCTAGAATTCAGGGAATGCAGATGTAATCAATTCACCAGGGGAAAAGGAAGAAGCATCAGTATGGTTAATGCCCCTCCAACCAGCATTGGTGTGAAACATGAAGAAACCTTTTCACCTGAATATGTCACTGAAGGGTAAAAGAAGCCCATCATCTGCGCACATCTCTGACCAGATACACAGTTTCAACCATATACCCTAACTTCCTGACATACGCAGTGCACCCTGCCAAAAATGCTACTTCACCTTACCTCCAAGACACAGCAAAATCTTCCATCAAACTTTTTAAGTCCTTGTTTTTCAGCTTTAAAAAACAGCTACAGCAATCTGATGATAAATGAACTGTATCAGAGAGACATAATTTCAAAAACTATTAAAGTAATGGTGGATTTTGTAACACCTTAGATCACGCTAATTTCAGACTCTTCTATGGAGAGATGAAAGAGGAAAATGCATTGGAAATCACGGCAGACAAAAGGCACAGTGATTTCTGAGGAATCATACAATGCAAAAACATGACTAGAATACAGTTGACTCAAGTTTGGGTGAAGAAACAGACCATGACAATTACAAATATATATATTTCCAAGTCTCACTATCAAACCTAAGGATTGTACAGTCCTAGGTGAAGAGACCCTTTGCCTGAAGGCAAATGCATAGCTTCAGCTGGAAATGCCACACTTCATCACCAGCCTGAGTGCTTCAGAAGTAAAAAGCCTAACCCTTGTCCCCCTCTCCGACTTCTAGCAGAAAAATATGTGCAAACACCTCCAGTCACAATTTACCAAGTCTTGAACACTAAGCTCTCCTAAACTACTTGCAAACATCTATCTAAAAGTTACAAAAAAAGCAGATTATCTGTTTATCAAAAGCAAGCAACAAATTAAAATTAATTAAAACAGTAACAATATTAAAACAACAGATTAAAACAAACCCTCCTCTGAATGCATAAGAGGGAAGCTTTAATTTTAAAATGCGCATTACCAAAGAGGAATTTTTATCTCTTCGCTAACTGACCTTAAGTGCAGAGGTCTGCAATATTCAGTATGTCTGCACAAACATCATTTGTAAGATTCCTACTCAAACAAGAGTTTTGTACACTGTCTGCATGATCATGGTTTAAAACCAAAACAAAACAGCAACTGCATGATGACTGGAGAGTTATTTCTGGAAGTAAGCTGTGAATAAGTGCAGAGGAAGAACTCTCTATCACTTATTAAAAAGTTGAAATCTCAGTTTCACACTTATCTGCAGCTCCCTGACAGATGTGATGGCACTGCTATTGCCTCTTTCAAACTGACAATTATCAAACAAGATCCTCATTGGTTTCACAGCTGTCACGGAGAATACAGCAAAGCTTCCATGAAGCAGCTCTAACCCACTCCTCCACATGTACCCTCTCTGGGAGCAGCTTCAAGAAGTACTGCAGATGACCAGAGAAGAGGAAGCCCAATCACCAAAATCAAACCAGGGGCTAAGGAAACAGAGACCAGACTCTGAGGAGGGGTCAAGAGATTCCAGGAAAGTGAACTCTTTGTTCCATCAGCCACAATATGGAAAAAGAAAAAAAACCCAAACCACAGCAAGCTTTCATGACAGTTAACCTCCTGTCTCTTAGAAATCCAAACACCTGCCCTGAAAATGTCAGTAGGATCTGGTTTATGGCAGTCCTTGGACAACTTTGAAAGATGGATGCCTTGCCCTGTGCATCCATTTCTGACTAGTAATGGCCTGGTACTTCTTCAAGTCCTTATTAGTTTATGGGGCACTGAGCTTCCAGGTTACCAGTTTTATTCCTTTCCAGATCGGTAAATGAGTCCACCACAGTTTCCTCACACTAATGATCACAGTTCAGCTGTTGAAAAAAAATTAAAAAATCAAATGGACAGAGGTTTACAAGTCCATGAGAACAGGGAGGCTAGTTCTGTAAGCAGAGAGGCTGCTGCAATTCACAAACACTGACATTTTCTGAGTTTCAGACTCCAGCACTGTTGGCTTGGCACCCTTCTCAGCACTGAATTCACAAAACCAAACAGTGAACTTCATAACTTCACCTCTACTTTCATGTATAAACTTATTCATACCCATGCTGGCACTGCCTCTGCCTCATTAAGGAACTGCTGACACCTCTTCTGAACTCAACACATCTTATTCAAACCAATTCTACTTGCATAGATGTTGTTTATTAGGGAGGATGCATGCATTAAAATCTGATTTTTTGTTTCTTCAGAAGTCAGCTGTTCCTGCTGTTTATCTCTACCTAAGGTAACAATTAGCCAGTAGGAAAATTACTATCATGTCACAAACAGAATATTACAAATTCAGGTAGGTGATCAAACAGCAGGAGACCTTGAACACAGAAGAAACAAAAACACTGTTTGGATACAAATGTCCTTGGCAATAGACAAAAACAAGAGATGAGAAATGACAGTCCAGATGGTTTATACACTGAAAGTTTTTTCAAAGTGTCTTATTAAGCATATACAAAGATTTGCAGAAGCACATGTCACTATTGCGAGACTAATTTGAAGAAATTAAAGTCACAATATTACGTGACATTACATATGACAGCAATTTCTGTGCTGTCATTTGAGCTAGGCTGAAGAGCGAGTGAGAGCCAAACGAATGGTTTATGAAGCACAGGTACAATTGGTACTTAATTAACTTGTCAGGAAACAGTCTCCCTCCATGCTCCAGACTTCAGTTAAAAGTTGAGACACCTTAACTTTTGAAAATTGGGGTTTAACCACCATAATAGGGGTTTGAAATAACACACAGCCCATTTATAAGGATACTTGCATCTTTGCAAACAGGATACAATATGGCAAACAGATGCACAGGAGGGAGGGTGGGGGAAAAAGGGCATGGAGGAGAGGAAAATTTTTGTTTTCCAGAGTACTGAGTAACTGGAGACAGAGCAATTACTTCAACATAAGCCACCTTTAGTCTAGCTTTCATCTGAACACACTAGTGTTGATGAATTTTCTAAGCCAGAGTGTGTTTCAGTGTTAGCAATTAACCTCTTCCCCCATCTAGTATGAAAAAAATTCTAGTAAATGGCAAAGCGATGGATGTAAACACTACAGGTGATTTCTTCTCAGAAAGACTGAACGCAGAAAACTAGTTACTGTAATTATGTTAATAGCATTAACAAACCAAAAACCAACCCCAGAACTCGGCTTTCATACCAACTGTGCCTTACACGACAAAAAACACTGGTGGAGAGGAGACGCGGAATACAAATCCTCAGCTACTTTAAGTGACATCCCCCCGTAAGGCAGTCGACTGCCGATTTAAAGCTGTATGAACACCCGTGGCAGTTCACCAGTGAAACACAAACTTCTCTCAAGTCCCAGCGCAGAGCCAGCACAGCTGAGAGGATGCAGCATCCATTCCATTCTCGACAACTCCGCACGCTCACTTCGCTGCAAGGAAGGGCTCACTGAAACACCAGATCCCGGCCACTTTCCAACACCCCATACACGCTGGATACGTGGAGATCTCCGCGCTCCCCCTGCACCCGGCAGCGTGAAGCGCCACTCACGGGGGAGAAAAGGAGAGGAGCCTGGCGATACTAACAGCGGTATCAGCCTGACACCGGCGTGGCCGAGCTGCTGCTTCCCAGGGCCGGGTGCGGAGAGCGACGGGAGGGGCGGCGCTGGTTCGGGGGCTCGGCGCGGTGCGGGCCGGCGGGGAAGTTGGCGTAGAGGCACGGCGCCTGGGAGAGCGCTGCCCCCGCGCCGGGCCCCGCGCCCCGCCGGCAGCCAGGCCTCTCCCCTCCCGCACGCCCAAACATGGCCCCTCGTCGCCACCCCGGCAACTTTTCCCCCCCTCTCCCCGCTCACCTCTCATCAGCGAACAAAAACTGCAGGCAAGTAGGCTGCGCAGGACGGCCCCCATCTTCCTTCCCTCCTCGCTCTCACCGGCGGGGAGGCGGCGGCGAGGAGCAGCACCTCCGCTGCCAGTTCATGCTTCCAGGCGGGCGGGGGAGGTGGCGGGGAAGACGGGAGGTGGGGGGGTAAAAGGAGGGAAGCTGAGGAACGGCGGCCGCGGAGACTCCTCCCTCGCCGGTTCCTAGCAGGCCACTTGCCCGGTCGCGCCGCCGCGGGAGCGGGCGCTGCCCTCCATGCCGGCCGCCGCCGCCTCACCGCAACTGCTGCGGTCGTTCCCCCATCCACCCCTACCGCTCGCTCGCCCGGCCTCCGCCTCCGCCGGGCGCGCACAGGCGCAGGGATACAGCCCTCCTCCTCCTCCCCCGGCCTGGCCTCCGCCTCCCCGCGCCGCGCCCGGACGGCTCCTGGAGCAGTGCCCGCCCCCTCCAGCACCTCTCCCCCGTCAGGAGGGGCGGGGGCACACGCACGCAACCGACTCTTGCACGGACGGTCACACACATACACACACGTTCCCGCTCGCCCCGCGGCTGACAAAAGCCCGGCAGGGTCTGCCGCACGGCGGGATCGGGCCGGGCTGGGAGAGGGTGAGGATCACGGTAACCCCCTCGGTGCCCGCCCGCGGGCAAAGTGAGGGGAGGCGGCGGGGGGCGGTCGCCGCTGTCGCATTCCAGCGGGACTACTTGCTATTCTTCACCCCCTCCGCCGCGTAGCGATGCTGCCCGCGGAGCAACACCGGCCCGGGAGCGACGGCACTACTTTCTGCCACAGAGCAGCGGCGGCGGTCGAGGCAACAGCAGCACAAAGGCAGAGCTGGTCCTCCGCCGGGTGAGGGCTGGGTACCGCGGGTACTGCAGGGTTGTCGGTTCCTTTCTTCGTCTCGGTTGGTGCCGTCCTGCCCGCTCTCTGAGGGGGCACGCTCGCGGAGAGCTCTTCTCCAGGGCCTGGCGCTTGGGCCAGCTGCGAGGTCACGCTGGCCTTTAAATATGTATCGGTGCGGTGCCCCACCGGTCGGATTGGAAACAAACGTGGGGGGACGGGCTGTAATAGTGAAGTATCGCTCGGGGAGCGGAGGGTGGGGCAGATAAGCAAGATGCTAAAACTAAGTTACAATTAGTACAGCCAGTGTGGAGATCACAGCTCGGTGATCTTAATCTGTCCCAGAGCAGCAGTACCAGGCGTTACTTCTCGGTAGGATTTGCTGCTTGGTTGGTGTAGTGTTGCGTAATTTATTTCCCAGCACTTTTGGGGGTGTTTTGGGATTTTGCCCCCCTTGCTAGACTAAATGTAGTATGCTGGGTTTTTGCTGCTTGGCACAGTAGTACAAAGGCCCCTTAAAATCAGTGACCTATGTGCTGTGTTGAAATATAACTTACTCTTTTCTGCTATTGCATCCATGTAAACACACTTCTACTTCTGAACAGACTAAAAGTTAAGATTTTGTAGTATACCCGCAAAGCTTCTCTCTGTACCTGCCTTGTTCATTCCCAATAAGCAGTACAAAATACAACTTTCTTGCATTTCCTTAGATGAAGAAATCTACTTCAGGTTTTCTACAAGAAACATTTAAGTCTAAATCATGTTCTCCCTCCTTCACAGAGTATGGCAGCCGGTTGGCAGGATAATGACAGGTTAGCAGGACATCTTACAGCAGAATTGGAGATCATTACATTCAGAAGTCCATACTATTTTCAGGGTTGTTAGAAACTTAACAGAAGTGTAAAACTTTTAATCTCATATCTGTTGGACACACATTTGGCCAGATTAAAGGCCCAGGTGTTGTAGACTGACTCTAACATCAGGCTTCTGGAGTCATGTGCTAAATGACAGAATCCCAGTTTCTACTGGGGAAAAACAAAAAAACCCACCCAGAGTGTTCTGTGCAAAGTATATTTCTAACCTTCAAGCAGTACCTGCCCAAGGCCAGGTCTAGGTTACAAAGTGCTGTCCTTGACTCTGCTGGATGAAATTGCCTCCTCCAGAACTGTGCTGTCAGCTGGGAGGATGAGCAAACTCAAGCAAGATCCGTGTGGGTAGCGGAGGGAAAGGGCTTCGTATGCAAAAGTGTACCTAGATGGTAGATAATCCACATCTAACCCTTGTTGTCACTCCTGGGTTTTGCAAGAGCAGGCAGAAGGAGCACACCTTTATATTTATTTTCACTGTTTAATTTGAATTGGAGGAGAAAAAGAGCTTTTCGGGAGTTTCCTTCTATTCTATGTTCACAGTGTTGCACAATCCATGATTAACCTCTTGCAAAGTATGGCAGATATGTCATGAATTCGTATCTTAATCGTACAGTGCACAGCTGAGGAAAACCTCAAGCCTGAACCCCTACATCACAGAACACATTTCTCTATATGCCATTTCCTCTTGCATCTCATCTGTTTCTGCTGGAATCACTCTGGTGTCTTGACTGTCTGTCTGCCTTGGGAGCCTCATCCCTGCCTTGTTGCTCATACCCTTAACAGACAGGCATCTTCCCTGCTGTCCGTGCTGGCTGGTTTTATTTTTAGCTTTCTCACATTACATGCTGTCACCCCTCACACTGGTGTAGTTCACTGGTTTTCTCTAATTTGAATCCTCTCCTGCTTAGTTTTTCTCTGAGCCATTTATGATAACTGGCTTCATCTCCCTCAGCTTGGCCTTTTGCCCCCATGGCCTGCATAGACACAATCCTCCTGTCGCTATTCCAGCCCAGATAGCCTCTTTTGAACCCTTTTCCCCATAAATGCTTAAGATTCAAGACAAGTCTATCTCCTAACTGCTTCTAATTCATATATGAATTTACTTTTAATTCATATATGTAGAATTAACTCCATGCCTGAGTTTTTTACAAAGTAAAATAGGAAGCAAGATTACTGCAGACAGAAAATCCTGAGATGATTATGTTCCTTTAGTTGAGCTTAAAGTCAAAATAAATGGGGAATGGAGAGGGAATGTCTTTTTTGTCTCCCCTTGTTGACTGCAGTTATTTCTATTAACCTTAGAATGAGAAAGCTTGGTTTGCTGGCTCAAATCCAGTCCAAAGCTCCAACTGCTAAGAAGCCTGCACAGCCTTACCCCTACCTTCAGACTTAGACGGTGGCTCAGTAATACAAGAACTTTCACAGGACATTTTGTTTATACTCAGGTTAGTTCCCTGGTTTGGTTGGTGGCCCAGCCTCATAAGCACTTTTATCAGCCCACAGGACAGCAAGGGATGGCAGCTGGAGCTCCTGAAACCAGCAGTGACTGCCAAAGTCACTCTGTTTTCGAACTGTGCCCCAAGTTCCAGTGGAGTCAATGGGCTTTCTTGTAGGACTGGGACTGAAGTCCCTAATGAGCAAAAGTTGTTAGGAGAAGATGGCTGCTCAGCAAATGAATTTGTAGCTGCCCACATCACAGAAGCCACTATCATAATTAGCTCTTTTGCTGAATGTCTCACTAAGAACTAATGGGCACAGCATGGTAAAATCCTGGTCCCTCTGGAGGCAATGGCAGAATTCTCACTAACTTCAAAAGGGACAAGCTTTCATACTGAAACTCAGGCTCAAGTCTTCTCTTGCCCCCAGCAGGAAAGTCTGCAGCACAGTAGCTTGGGGAACTGGACATGACATAGCAATGACTTCACCAATGATGCCTGATATAACCACTTCACAAATAAAACAGAACACCCTGACTTGTAGTATCATCAGCTTGGCACTTTGCCTAGGTCATACAGTTTGTAAAGAAAAATGCTTTGTCCAAAAATGCTTCATCTTCCCCAACATAAGGTCAGCTCATGTGAGAGGTATACCTGATGAGGTTTATCCTGTTCCGAGTGCAGTGGGTTTATCGCGGTGTTCCTCCTTCAGTGGTAGAGTACAAGATCATCTCTTCCTTCCTAAAGTTCAGTAACAACCAGACATACTTTTCCCCTTCCTATTATCATAGAATCATATAATCACAGAATGGTTTGGTTTGGAAGGGACTTTAAAGCTCATCCAGTTCCAGCCCCCTGCCATGGGCAGGGATACCTACCACTAGACCAAGTTGCTCCAAGCCCTATCCAACCTGACCTTGAACACTGCCAGGGATGGGGCAGCCACAGCTCTGGTCAACCTGTGCCGGTGCCTCACCACGTTCACATGGAAGAATTTCTTCCTAGTATCAGATTTAAATCTCCCCTCTTTCAGTTAAAAAACACTTCCCCTTGTCCTGTCACTACATGCCCTTGTACAAAGTCCCTCTCTAGCTTTCTTGTTGGCCCCCTTTCAGTACTGAGAGGCTGTATGTAGTCTCCCTGGCCCTTTTACTGCCATACTGTATGAACTGCACCTTTTCACTGTGACATAGGCAGCTTCCAAGCAGATTTTCCTGGACTGATAGTGATGTCTCTAGCCCAGAAATTTTCTCCAGGCCATGAGGCTTTACTTGTTTTTGCAGTTAGTCTGCAGGTTCCCCCCAGTCTGTCAAACCACAGCAATATCTGGCACTCGTGGTACTGTTGTGGCAAACACCCCATCAAATCCCTTTTTTTTTTTTTAATCATATATAGAGTTGTTTCTTCTTACATTTCAGTACTACCTTATTCCCCCCTCCCTATTTAGTATAATACCCATTCTTTCTTTCCCATCTCCTTTACCAGAAGAGGTTGCCTGGTGCCCAGGATGAGAACTGCATTACTTTGTGGCTAAAAAAGAATCCTTACAACAAAATCTTCACAGAGGAGAAGGTGATTGGGTTCAGCAGCTCATACAGGCGAGCTAGTCCAACAGGAATGCATTGATATCCCCAAGGGAAAATATGAGATAAGATGACCTGGAAGGCTTGGGCATTTTCTTTACGCCTTTGGAGAAGTGTTTGGACTCCTGCTGATGGTGCATTCAGGGTCAGGCTGTCTACCTACTACGTCTTTTCTCCTTTTCCATCTCCCAGGGAGTTGAAAACAGCACTGCCTAAGGATACACTTCAGCGGTTGTGTTTTCAGTGCGAACCATGCAGGATTCTGATTTTAATTTGGCACTGCCCACCAGACCACAGGGCAAGTCCAGGACTTTTCTTAGGAATATTCAGCCGGGGCTACATTTCAAAGCCAAATTACAGAAATGTCATTTGAGAAAGCTACAGTTCTAAAATTCATAAAGTACTTTAATGCTAGGTTGACACAGAGGAAACATCCTTTTTCAAAGAGCTCACATTTCAGGCTGACAGACACCAAAACACTTATTTTGTTTTAGTTTGCTCAAATTTTCAACCCCAGTCAGCATCTGGGCTCTATTAACCATAATGTGCGTGCCTTTTAAGCAACAACAATTTAAGAATATTTTGTTTTCAAATCTCTTTCATGGAGTTCAGTGTTTTGCAATATGCATCCATAATATTTAACAGTTCTGCTTTGCACTGCAGTCTTTGAAGTCTAAAAATTATTTACTGGTAAAGCATTGTACATTTGCTTGCACTCTTTAGTCACAGGGATTAATGACTAGAATTTATGCCTCTGGTCAAGCAAGGTAAGTCACTGTGTCACACTAATTAGGAATCTTTCCTGCAACACTTTTCAATCTTTATGTAGTATACACGGTGTGACACACCAACTGTGCATAGGGAAGAGCTCATTTGCAACTTGAAATAGCCACTTCTGGGCTAAAGTGCTGTACCATGGAAGTGCAGTTTATGGCAAGAGACTCATCCCTCTCCAGTTCAAAGTCTGGGAAGAAGATTCAGATTTGTATGTCCATGCCCATATTTTATTTATACTTTATATTCATATACATATTAGTCTGCAATTCAGCCAAAACACTAAGCACCTCAAAGAATATGGCTATAGACCATCAATCATGATACCTCTACAGGGGTGGGGATTTTATTAGCTGTTAGATAAATTCTCAAAATAAGCTGAATGAGCGCAAACAGTTCCTCGGAGCAGAAGAGAGTGCCCTCTGATGGTTAATTTTTAGGTTTAATATCTGCAATGTTTTGTGACGCACATCTAGTTTTTAAGAGATTTGTAGGATAAAGCCACACAAATGCAAGATGATGGGACAGGTCTTTATTTTAAGAAAAACCCCTTTTTTTTTTTTTACCCTCTTAATTGCTTTTTAGGTAGTCATTAAAAATAAGGATGGAGGCAAATTATGGTTAACATTTTTATTAAAGTGCTGTTACCCATCATTTCTCAGAGACAAGTGTTGCCTCTGACAGTTTGGAACTATTGCTCACACTCCATTCGGTATGTTTTATGTTTCACTGTGGCAAGTGTGTTTCAAGGCCTGGAAAGGTAGCATGCAGGACATGTATAAATTTCCAGCTTATTTCAGAATCATAAAATCAATTTATCATTAAATCAGCTAATTACAATAGAGGCAATAGTTTGAATTAGTCCTTGTTCACTTCTCAACCAGTAAAATCCCAAGATAATCAACAGTGGCTGATTATGTAGTCTGTACTGGCTTTAACAGGCCTTGACAGTAATTCAGTTAACAAATTCCTGTTTTATTAAAAACCAAAGCTACAGGACTTGGAGGGAATGGCTGGAATGGAAACTGAGGGCCAGATTCTCCCTCCCACCTTACTATCTACTGGCCAGAGCACTAAGCACTATGTAAGTTACACACAGGGAATGCTGTAACCACCTGTGTTTCCACAAAAGATTTTTCAAATACAAGCACAGGACAGCAAAAGGCTCAGCGTATATTCACCCCAGCCATGAGCTAAAGTGTCTCCCTTTGATTTCATTCCCTGTTAGAGGGGGAATGAATGTGGGTCCTTAAGCTTGCACTAACTCCATATGTAAAGGTTTCTGTGGCTTATGGCCTGTGATTCATTCTTCATGCAATGAGGGGATAGAAGAGGCCATTATATATATTTGAAGTCTCATTTGCTGCTTTTCCATCTGCATCCGTTCCTTGGATAATTTCCTTACAGTATGGACTTTGATAAAGACTCTTCCAGTACAGCTGGCAACTAAATGTAGATAAGTGACAAAGCAAAACACAGAGAAAGACAGACCCACTCCTCAAATATATTTATTAAAACAGTTGTGCCCACTATAAAGATATTGTTGAAGGGTCGTCATATTCCATTTTGAAATAATTAGATTATATTTTCTCCTCTTAAGAAAAAAGTGATTAGAGTGAGGCTATCCAATCCATTCCTCATCCTGCCTTCTTCCACCCCCTCCCCAGTCAATGCCACAAAAACAGTATTTGGTCACATGGATCTTCAAATAAAAGGGAATTGTGTCTGAATAGCCCTGACTCATAAAGCTCCTTCCAGTGCCTTTTTCAGTGTTGGAGCTTTGCCGTTAATGCAGCTTCTACTAATTTTTTTCCTTACTACAATTGTGAAAAATCTAATACTTTTAGAATGATCTGAAAGAGCTTACACAGAACAAAATCCCCGTTTAATCTTGGCATATTAAGAAATCTTTTCTTTGAACAATACATCTAAAATGCTATTTTCCCCAAACTGTTTTTTTTTTCTTTTCCTTTAAGATAAGTAAAGCTGTAAGTGTTGAAAGAAATTATGATTTAGAGTCCTATATTCAGTTGTGGTTTAGGAATCCTGGCACTTTAACTGAAGGAAACGTTATTGAGGATATGTGCATCCAATGGTACACTGTGGCAGGAAATCATGGATTCAGTATAGCAAAATAAAAAAATGGGAGCGATAAACCCAAACCACTTAAATATAGGGAAAAAAAATGATTGCAGAGCGTTGTATATACAAGTTGTTTAGTTGTTGCTCCCACTGTGTGTGCTACCCCTCAGTTAAGAGCCTAAAACCATAGAATTCACAGAATGGTTTGGATTGGAAAGGACCTTAAAGATCATCCAGGTCCAACCCCCTGGGGAGGGACACCCTCCACTAGACCAGGTTCCTCAAAGCCACGTCCAGCCTGGGCTTCAGCACTGCCAGGGATGGGGCAGCCAATGCTTCTCTGGGCAACCTGTGCCAGCGCCTCACCACCCTCATAGTGAAAAATTTCTTCCCAATGTCTAATCTATTCTCCCCTCTGTCATTTTAAAGCCATTCCCCCTTGTCCTGTCACTACACACCCCTATAAAAAGTCACTCTACAGATTTCTTGTAGACCCCTTTAGGTACTGGAAGCTTGAGCAGTTCCACGTCCCTCTTGTGTTGTGCCCCAGAGCTGGATGCAGGACTGCAGGTAGGGTCTCTTGAAAGCAGAGTAGAGAGGGAGAATCCTTTCCATCGGCCTTCTGGTCATGCTCCTTTTGATGCAGCCCAGGATACAGTTGGCTTTCTGGCTGCAAGCGCAGATTGCTGTATCATGTCTTAATTTTTCATCTACCAGTGTTCTCAGATCCTTCTTTGCAGGGCTGCTCTCTATCCATGCATTACTTAGTCTGTGTTGACATACGGATCACCCAGTAATATTTTGCTATATAGATATCATTTCAAAAGAAAGTTCAGAACATCAAAATTCAAGTTTAAAGTAGTGATCACTTTTAAAGAGGAGTATCTGAAAACTGAAGCAAAACACAACCTAGCAAATGCGAATTCCCATTTTCTTTCCCTGTGCAAATCCTCCACTTTTGAACAACATTGGATAGACAATGAAACAACTCTGTGGAAAAAGAAGGTGGAGGAAAGGTACTGAGTTGTCACAGCTGGTGGTAAATAGGGCAAAATAAATACAAGTTGAGCTGAGTTAAAGATTGAAATGAGATTTGTTAAATTTTAGGTCAAAAGCCAAATGAGAAATATGCAGAGTCTTTCCTGGAGTGACCTACCTTGCTTTACCAGGTCCATTATGAGACCTGCAACCAAGATAATTTCTAATTAGGGCTTAATGAACATTCAGTCAGGTGAAAACTAAAGAAAAAAAAATCGGGGTTAAAAAGTTAAAGTTACAAACTTTACGCCAGATCCAAGACTCATCTTTTGAATTCGCCTTTCAAGCCTACTTTTATGTTCTCAGCTGGAATGCAGGTGTCAGCTGACAGCTGAACAGGTACAAGAACCAGTGTGTCACTTGCCAGCACAGTGACTTACTGCTGTGCAAGGCCATGGACCCCAGCTATAACAGAACAGAAGTTAATGCACAACCCGTTGCTTTTTCCTCATGAAGTGAGCCAGTGTACGGGAAACAGTGATCGAGCATAGTTGTACTGAAACTTAAAAATACATTTATTCATTTTTTATAATATCTAACAAACACACAGAGGACAAAGAGCAGCAGTTTTGTGCTTTGCACTTTGATATCCCCAAGAAGTATAGAGACCTAGAGGAAAAATATTAAGTACGCTTCCTGAAGATGAAAAAAACTTTTCAATGTATCCCAATCCTTCAGAAGACCTACCCATCCAGAGGCTGGTAAAGCATCTGGGAATAGCATGTACCTTCCTCGGTACATGGGGGGAATGCAGCTATTCCATATCTATCAGTGAATGAGGAGGCAGAGAGGTGGATTGCCTATATGAGAAAATGAGTAATGCATGGGAAGGGCCCAGTAGCCTAGGCCAATTTCAGGAGTGTGGCAGGAAGCTAAATATAGCTGCTCTAAATGAAAAGGTGGAAACTGTTGGCTGCAATAATAGCACTTTAAATTCTGTGTTTGTATCAGTATGGAGTGTGGGGATCAAAGCAGTATCTAATGGTGTCTTCACATTCAAATCCACTAAGATGGTTTTGTAGGAGGAAAGAAAATAAGATTCAGTTTTGAAACTGACTTCTCATGTAATTCTCTTGGTTTTTTGGTTTTGTTTGGTTTTGTTAGTTGGTTTGTAATTTACTAGAAAGAATCCTGAGTATAAGCATTTCCTGTTCCTACCAGAATTACAATAATCTGAAGCACTATTTGATGAGAACACACTATACTGAGTTTGCAGCCCTTTGAGGTAGGGACTGTGTGCTTTTCTCATCCATCTCAAAGAGATCGGTAATTTACTACTTTATGATTTTTTGCAGTGGTTATAAATTTGGGCTTTCTATACTACAATTCCACAAAATAGTTTTGTTCACAACAGTCTTCATTTACACATGTCCTCCACCCAGAAGCTTTCAATAAACAAAACAGCTTTCCTGTAAAACATTTTTGCAGTGAAAGAGCCATTATTGGGTAGTTTAAAGCCAAGCTAAATGAAACATTTTTAAATTGGCACCCTCCAAATTTGTCAATTCTATTTACTGTTGTTGCCCTCTAGTGTTCAAACACAGCTCGTAAACGCCCCTATAGAAAGATCTGGCCACCTAGCAATTCGCCCGTTTGTACTTAATCCAGCCAGATGAATTGATGGCAAAACAAGAGATAAGTGTTTCAGTGCACCTGCTTAATTCTCAAGTATTAAAAAAGGGATTTTTAATGTAAGAACATTTGTTGTTTGTTTCACTCAAAGATTGTGAAAGGCAACTCAGCATCCTAACTAAATTAATCATGGTTCTCATGCACCTCCCTGCTTCTGCCATTCGTTGTGCTTAATATACATTGCTGTTTGGGTTGGAGGACAATGTTTTTAATGGCATTAGCCAAATACACATCAGGTGCTCTGAATGACCCTGAGAAATATCTACCTGTCTTCTCTTAAATATATCTCTACTGTATTGTGCCCTATCAATTAATACAAACCACCTCTCCCGCCAACAAATTAGTTGTTACAGCAGAAGCACACAGTGAAAGTTCAGGGGTTGTCCTCAGCACCTCTCCTGCAATAAGCTGCTGTGATGGCAGCGGCAACATTGAAGACTTCTGACAACTCAAACTTAGATTTGCCCCATTTGGTTTCAAGAATAGCTTGTGATGTATGCAGAAAAAAACCCCAAACCATTAGGGATACATATATGTCCACAAACTGTATGTAGCTAAGGAAAATTAAGCTATGTTATGTATACCACAAGTTTTACTGTTTGACCTAAAACCATTTGGATGCAAAGCTCTACTACTAAGTACTGCTTTAAGGCTGCAAATAGAGTAAATAGGATTGCCAGGCAATCATGTAACACTATAGCATTTGGTGGAAAAGCACTGAAAATGCTCAAGCACTGCACAGGTACTCAGTTTATTAGGTGTACTTCTATGCCACTAATCTCATCATAGTACAGATTAAGCTCTTGAAATGCTTTTTCTCCTTAAATATAAGACCTTCTTAGCTTAACTTGGATTTGAGTGTTTATTTTTGGGATTCAGTCATAAATCAAAAATGATAGACATTATAGTTCAGTGTAGAAAGAGCAGTTCTCTACTCCACCAAAGCCATCTGCCACTTTCCCATTAGCGGCCAAAAAAGGAATCCATCCTCTTCTGAGATTTCAGTGTCTACAGTTCCATTTCAGAGTTGTCCTCTCAAAAATGAGAGATGCTCCTCACAATCTTATCCCTCTCCCTATCATACATCAGCATAAATTCCATTGATCAAGTAATCCAGCCTAGTATAATGCCTCTTCTGAAAAGATTCATGTATTTTCTTCCCAGTCAATGCAATAACAAGCAATAAGAATATAACCCCAAAAAGCAAAGCTGCTACAAGTCTGCTTTTTTCTCCCAGCTGAGTGACATCCCTCCCTCTCAGATGGCTCTCCGGCAGATAGCTTTCTAAATCAGATGGGTCATAACCCTGAGCATTGTTTTGGGAAGACCTGGGGGAATCACTAGCAAACAGAGTGAAACCTGAAAAAGAGAAGAGGGTTACATGGCTAGTAACGTTGGAAGAGACAACCGTTGGCTCAGGAGGGATAGGTGGTGTTCTTAGCCCTGATGAGGTAGCAGCAGATCTGGAAGTTGTGGTCACCCACTTGGTTGTAGAAGTAGAAGCAGAAGTTGTGGAACTAGAAAGAGGAACCTGAGTAACAGCAGTGCTGATGGCAGCGATACCAGGCTTCACTCTGGCAATCGCAGTAGGTGGAAAGGTAGCTCTGTTGGTGGTGGTGACAGGAGTAAGTTTAGCACCACCAGAATGCAGAGAGGTTGTATGAGATTCCAGTCGGGTGGTACTTGTAGGCAGAGGAGTGAGAGTACTACTGCTGGGTTCAGGAACATTAGACTGAGTGGTGGGGAACAAAACAGAGGGCTTTCCATTTTGATCAGCAAAAGACATGTTTGGTGGCAGGTGAGTTACTTTCTGCTTTGGGATAAGGTCTAAGCTCTCAGGATGTTTTGCCCTTTGATATTCAGGAAAAACTGTATGAAATTCAGTGTTGTCTAAATGCTTGCCCATGTGGTTTGGGAGTTCAGATGCCTGATGAAAGACAGATTGTTGCAAAGCAGCAGTACGATTCTGATGGCTAGTCTGGCTGTGAGAAATAAAGGCTCCAGCATCTGAAGACAAAGAATACTCATTTGAAAAAAAGTCCTCCCTCCCGAAGGATGTATCCTGTGGGGCATGCGTATCTGGAAACAGAAAGGAAACAGTAGTATTTCATTATTTTTTATTACCACAGTCTTACTCTGTATTTCTCAGTAAGAGAGATGTAAGAGGGCTCCAAAAACACTAATGAAACTGAGGCTTCACTATCTTCCTTTCTTTAAAATATGCAGAGATTTCTAAATCCTGTCTGTGTCGTAAGACGTGTCAGCCTCAAGCCTGGACACATCTGATCCTGACTGCAACTTCCTATAGAATTTATCTGTGAAGAGCCATCATCCCAATCTGATTGTTTTATACTCATATTGCATGCATGTAAGCATTTCTTTATTTAGATTTGAAAAGCAGAGTGAGTAGGCTCATTGTCTTCAAACCATTCTCAGCCCTTGTCAGTTAAGAAGTTGGTATCACCAACCTCACTTTTATTTGTCAGATGTACACATTTCTACCTAGCCAAGATAATTATATCCTCCCTTTCTTGTAATACCCAAGCACCCTGTGATTGCTTGACACAATTCAATTTACACACAAAATTGTCTTACAATACAAGGTGGCAATAATATCCCCATTTCATAGGCCATTTTATATACATACTGATTTGTAGGAAAGACCTGAGCTCCTACTGCCATGCTAGAAGAAAGACATTGCACCAAGAGTCTCTGAACTATTTGCAGTGAAGACCTCCACAAGAAGCAGATTATGCTTTATAATTTCTCCAGAAGTCGATACGTATTCCTTGCAAAATGTGGGTGAATGCCATTTAATAGAATTTGGCAGCAACTCAACAGTGTTATATGACAGAAATTCCACACAAGCAATAATCATAGCAGTTAACTGATTCTAAACAGGTATTATTTTAATTGCCACTTTGTCTAAGTAGGAACTCTTATCTAAAGGGATGGTATATTTTCAGTTTTATTATACATACAAAGAAGCCTACTTGGCTGCTGCTTCCATGTGTATTTACAAGCCTTAAGACCCCACAAAAAAATAAAGTGAATAAAAAGCCCCAACCCAAAACAGCAAACCAAAAACCTCTCCGTGCTTTAAACAGGAGCACAGCAAATACATCTGCAATAATAGACACCAGTTTTTATCCTCACTTCCAGTCAAGCACCAGTGTGTTACCAAAGTAACATCTTCAACACAGATAATGGACTGACTTAGAGAAAAGCCATACTGTGTTTTTAGAGAGTGGCTTTAAATAACAAGATGTTCAGTTATTGCACTATATATATATATATATATATATGCATATATAGTATATGCATAATCAGAAACTGTATGCTCAAAGACAGCCAGACTGCTTCTGCAGCTCTGGACACATTTCCACACCAGCAAGGAAATGGGCTGTCACCACCACGGAGTCAGTCACCAATTCAGTTTTTCCCTGTTCCCGACGCACTCCCATGGAGCTCCCCCCTGTGTGTTTAAACAAACAGCGGATGTAGCGTGACAGCTACAAAGCACTTGCAGCATGCTATGTCATCTTCAGTTCCCTTGCCTGGGCAACAGCTAGAAAAGCACGGAGCAATCCCGCAGCGTTCAAAGGATGGAGGAGGGAATACAGGGAAGCTATGTATGAGTCCCATACAGGAGTTAAGTATCGCTGCTACTCTGGAGCACTCAGATTAATTAATGTAACTGACTGCATGAACTAACTCTACTCCACATTTTCAGCATCAAACCTTGATTTCACAGTATTCTTTGTCTCCATTTGAGATTACGAACTCCCAAATGCAGTGGCCCAAACCTGTCCTGGGAGAGGTACAGCTGGAGTACTAGGATAGCCTTGTTAGTAAGGAAGAACCGGGACACTACACAAGTCAAACTCTAAAAAGAGATGAAAACCCCAAAGTGGTCCTCCTGATATCTCAAATCCAGTAAGCTGCATTAGAAATCAAACTTCAGATTGTTTGATAAAAACCAAACAGCACCTCCTGAGCATACTTTGCTAGAACCCACCAGTCCTGCCTGGGTATCTTAGTGGGGTGGCAAAGGCAAGTGCCACAAAAGTACATGAACAGCAGAAACCAGAGATGTTCTTTCTTTTTTAGCCATAGCTTTTTGCAGCTGAGTCCATGCTGGGTCCATATTCTACTTCCCAAGCCATAGGTTGTTTCCATTAGTTAGCAGCCACAAGAGTAGTTAAAAAGAAGAAAATTAAATAAATCACTGCTAACATAGCATCAGTATTTATGTTGCTTTATTATCAGTAAAGTATCTTTCCTCCTTTTAGTTTGGTTTTCAGTGTAACCACATTCAGATTCTCATATGAAGGAATGACGCTTGACAGGTTTGTCAGTGCCAGCACCACTCAGATGCTACCTTTGAAAACTTACTAGGAACATGAAAAAAAAGTTGGCATAATCTTTTCACCATTCAGTGTTCACAGAAGCTAAAAAAATGCAAAATTAAAAGAGAAGGAATACGCAACCAAGTTATTAACTAAGCATTACACTACATGCAGGATGAGATGAAAGCACATGCACGATTTCATTTCTTGTTTGTCTGAAACAAGGGGGAAAAGAGCTGGAGAAAATAATAGTTCCAATGATAATTTTACAGGTATGCAGTTCATTTGTTGCACGTTGCTTTTGCCCAAATCTTGTGTGATTGTGCTTGCACAAAAGTATTTGGTAATGTACATGAATAATCTTTCTACATATCCTGCTGTTGCATAGTTCCTCTTGGAAAAGTTCTCTTCTTCAGCAAAGGATCAGTCTCTGAAAATAAGAACTATCTTCTCTCTCAAGCAGCCACACTGAAAGCACCTTGTGAGCTCTTGGCAGGAAGATAGTCTATCAGTTTCTTATCTCAACTGTTCAGACAGGTTTAGTGCAAGGCAACATCAGTCAACAAGTACAGGTTGCTATAAAAAATCCCACTGCACATGACAGATAGCGAGAAATTTCTGAGCATGCAGCCCACATGCCATAAAGCTGAGTTTAGACAGTTTGCATCCATTCTTCAGGTGCCCTGACTGAAAGCAGAAAATAACCATTGCCATCACAACACCACCACAGTGATCCTTGGAGGCTTGCCCAGCATTTGCTCAATGTTTCTGACTGCATACATATGGTTTTCATCAGTGTAGCATGGTTCCTTGGAATACAGAGAAGGCTACAAGGGCATCGTCCATTGCTTTCAGTGATACTCTTCAGCGTTATGTACAGAAAATTTTCCTTCTTGAATACATTAACATGGAAGCAGCTTCTTTTTGGTTTAAGCAATGGAAAATTATGAGTAGTTCTGAATCTAATGTGAAGGAATTTCATAAGGGTCAGGATGTTACTCCAATGAGGCAGAGTCCACACAGGAGCTCACCACACACCTGCCCATCAAACATCCATAAAGCAAAAGAGCAACATTTTCAAGCTACAGTGTGTGCCTTAGAGCATTTTACCAGAACAGCAACCCCCAAACATTTTCTGGTCACTACTGAAAACTCACAGGTGCAAAACCCATCTATCTAGCGTGGGAACTGGTGGCTCCTACTGTTACTTACCTCTAGTTATTTTGTAGCTCACAAGTCCTGTTGCGGGTTTCATTGGGCAAGCCTCAGTACTAGGGCAGTAAAACAGGTAGCAGTTTGGATGTGCGCTTGTCCTTCGAGGATCAAAAATCATCAGATTGCACTTCTTGTCTCCTGCAAAACATGATAAAGACGTATTTCAGCAATAAGAACTTTTACAGAGTCTTGATAATGAGCTCTAGTTTGTTAATTTTTCTTCATGTGAGTAACAGGAAAACTACTGACATAACATTCCTACAGGAAAAACAGCCCAGGACTGCAAAAGAATGGCTCAGGGCCAATGTACAGAAGGTCACACCTTCCTCTTCCTGTACAGATGAATTTATAATGAGTTTAATCCCTCACCTTCCCCTTGCTCCTTCCACACTGGCACCACTTTATAATTTCTTGCTTGCAAATCCTGATAAATCGGAGAACCTCAATATGCCCATGGGGGAGGAAATTATTTATACACTTTTCCTTATCACATCCCAGGAACTGTTTGTCTCATTCCTGCTTGTGGGGTCACCTTTACCACGTCATTTCTACTTGCCTTTCTAAGAATCCAAGAGCTTGATGTCAACCAGTGCTCTCAGAGAAGGGTAAGCACTCCTTTTTCCCCCCTTTAAACGTAGTGTAAAATGTCAGTTACTTTTACTAAATGTCAGTTACTCAGTGCATCTGCTAACCACAGCTTACACATCTGAGCCTGGTGATCTGAAATGTTTTATAACATTTAAAACTACCGCTGTTTCTTTGCTGCAACTATTTTGCTGAGCACTGAGGGGTCCTGCACCGAGATCTCTCCTCACGCTCGGCGAAGCAGGCTTAGCAGCCGCAAGCTCTTACCAATCGCAGCGCGCATGGAGGGATAAATTAACGTTTCTACGCTGAATACAGAGGACAGCACTCCAACAGCACGCGAGCCCAACTCCCTAAGTCATTTCCCAACAGAGAGGGCCAGCGAGGAAGAAGTTACCTGAGATCTTTATCCCCGAGCAGCAGGCATGGACACAAGCCTCGGGCGCTGGGACGTACGTGGGCTCCGCTCCTCGGACGCCTTTGAGCAAGGAGAGGTTGATATCGATGATGGTGTTTTCCATCCTCTCCGCGGAGCACTCCCGGCCCGGAGGTGGCCCCGCCATCACGCCGGTGACCACCAGCAGGCACACCTGCCAGCGCCCACTGCCGGGGGCCATGGTCTCTCGGGTCCGGGACTCTGCCGGGCCCAGCCTCTTCTCCGACACAACCCGGGGGGAAAGCAGCAGCAAGGAAACCGCGGCTGCCCCGGGCCGCCGGTACGTCCGGGAGGAGGGACGGAGGGAGGCGGGCCTGGGCCGCATGCCTGCCCTCCTGCCCCCGCCTCCTGCCCGTTCACCTGCTCTCCTTCCCCCTGTCCCGGCGTGCCTGCAGTGATGCCCCCGCTCTTTCAGCCGTCCGCAGGCCCAGAGGCTCGTCCCGGCAGTCGAGGGCAATGGAAAAACCACCCGCAGAAACTCTTCAGGTGGAGGCGGTGGGGGCCGGGCTGATGTGTTTCTACTCGCAGCCTGACCTGCCGCTCCTCCGAGATCCGGGTTTGGAGGCTGTATGAAAGTGATTAAGATGCATATCCTGCTCTAAATGCACATGTGTGTATTTTAATGCGTAAGCGTCTCTTTACTACCTGAGTAATCCTGTTCAAATCATAGCCAAGCACAGGGTGTTTACTGAAAGGGTGTTGTATGGACAAGCCTGTCTGCTGGAAGCATGGACGGGCAGCTTATCCTTCAACAGCCTTAGTTCAGTGGCTTGCTTAAGTAATGTTTTTGCTTGGGAATCTTTGTCTTTCATTTCCTTTTTGTTTTGTTGGGTTTTTTGTTTTGTTTTGGTTTGGCTTTCTTTGGGGGAGGGAGAAAATGTGTCAGAATAAAACTGGCCCAGAGCATAAGGAGTGCAAGGAATAAAAAGATTTTAAGATATATTCCTCTTTTTTCAGGTCTCTCATCTTTAAAAGGATGAGCATGCTATGAATAGTTAGAATAATACAGTTATCTGTAAATAAAATACATTTTCTTTTTAACCATGGTCCATTACCTGAAGAGACACCAAAGGGCAGGTTATTTTACACATGGTAATGGTTTGGGTAGTATAATGAAACTAGGGAGTCTGGTTGTGTCTGGCAATCACCTGCTGTCTATTTGAAAGAATCTCACAGAATCACAGACTACCAGGTTAGAAGGGACCTTAAGGCTCACGTGGTCCAACCCTTCTAGGCAAAGTATGTCCCAGCACCCTGTCCAGATGAATCTTAAAGAGCATCCAATGCTGGGGAATCCACTGCTTTCTTGGGGATATTATTCCAGGGGCTGGTCGTTCTCATTGTGAAAAGTTTTCCTTGTGTCTAGTAGGAATCTCCACAGGATAAACTTGTGCTGATCACCCTTCATTGTTTCCATGCAGCTCCTTGCAGAAAGAGAGACTCCACCTTTGTAGCCAGCCTTTAAATACTGAAACATGGTGGTAAGGTCTCCCCTGAACCTTCTTTTCTCCCAGCTGAACAAGCCCAGTTCTCCCAGCCTTTCCTCCTAGGCAGGCTTCCCAGTCCTTTGCTCATCTTTGTGGCCCTTCTGTGGACCCCCTCCAGCCTGTCCACAGATTTTTGTATAGCAGAGAAAGAAACATAAATTGAGGTGAAACTCCCTCCTTCTCTGAGATCCCTGGAAGGGGCACAGTGCCAGCAGCAGCAGTGGGAGCACATCCTGCTCCATGCTGCCTGCCCTTCACCATGCCTAACACCATGGACCCAGGCCAAGGGATGAGTGGCTGACTTGTTCTTCATGCTCAGTTAGTTCCTGTCTCCTTTGCTAATACAGCTTTATGTTGGCTTTTATTTGGACATCAGTGCTGTAAAAGGCTGAGTCCATCATCTCATTTCACATCAAATAGCCAATTTGGGGCAATTACTCATGTTTTATTGTGACTCTTGCATTCCTGATACTTTTCCCTGATTTTTTCACCTGCATTTGTTTAAGAAAATGTGTATTTCTCAGTTTTGGAAATGTAGAGGAATAATTTTGGTAGCCAGGTTTCCCTTTTTTCATAAGCTGGTACAATTATTTTCACTGTTAAAATGCTCTAGGAGAATGTGAACATTTTGTCACCTATGAACTGCGTCACACAGTGAATGACCGATGGGACTGAATACCAACAGCAAGCACAAATACTGCCTGTGCTATGCATTGGGCAGAGTCCCAGCTGCCACCTCCCTTTGCTTGCATAGTGGTGGTGGAAGAAGCCAAGCTTAAAGATGCTGAAAAGAAAAAAAGGCTAAATGTCTGGCTGGAGTGGTTGTAACTGAAAGGTTCTTCACTGGGACTGCTGGGATAGTGTTAAGTGTTAGGGGTGTCAGGGTACCAGAATGATAGTGAATGTGAAGCCCTGTGGAGAGACTACTGTGTGAGACAGGCATAAATGATTACAGGAATATGAGAAGGGCTGATGTGATATATAATATGATTACAGGGAAAAAGAGAGAGCATGGGATGGCATGATTGTGTATTTTGAGTGCTGGGTATATTGAATATACTGAGTAAGTCATAAAGGAAAAATTAAACAGATAAGAAACGGTATAAAATATTTGCCAAAGTCCTTATGTTACTTGTGTTATGGTAATACAGGTAAAACATCAGATGTATATTCTAATGTAGATATAGCTGTGCACTGTTTCAGGTACATTCAGTTAGGCACTTGATACAGGATGCCACAGAGGACTTGCATTATATCCACATCAGAAACAAAGAATTCATTTACACATCTAACATACTAATATATACCTTTATTTTAAAAATGGTTTCCACGTGGTAAAATTCCATGTGATAAACAAACGTTGGTTGACAGATAAATTAAAACTCCTTGGGGTGGTGATATACAGCAAATTCACACTTTCAAAATAATATATGGAAACACTTCAGAGAGGAGTGAGTTGTCCATTACACAGGAGCAGAAGGGATGTGAATTGAAGGTAAATTTGCTGATGCAGAGCAGTTAATTTAAACATTTGTCTGAGATAGATAATGTCAAATTACCTTATGGCAGGCACTGGTTAGGCTGTAGTCCTACAGATGTCATGCACTTTAGCTGTAAAGGCTGCATTTATGTTTAAACACTACCAGTCCTCCCATACAAGCCACTGAGACTGCTCATGGGTGTGACTTTAATTATGTGTGTGCATGTTACAGATTAGGAACTTGAGTTTGTAAACTGACTTGTGCCAACAATAGTTGGTTCTTCCCCCCCCCCCCCGAAATATTGTTTTCATACTATTTGTTATTTCGGCAGGAATCGAGCAGTTGTTCAGGTAATTGAAAGAAAGGTCTATTATTATTAGGTTACAAAAGCAGAGTGTCTACAGCTAGGAAAGGGTGGTGTTGGACTGGGATGCCTTCCCACAGCCTTGACCTCGGTAACGGTTGTGAGGCGCAGTTCCCATGAAATAGTAGCATTATTTTTGTGTTTAATACAAGTGTGGTGGCAGTTAGCAAAGGCAGCCAAGAGAAATGATGCTGAGTTCAGTGCAGAGCTTTTGATGGTGCTGGGCATCATGCATGAGCAGGGAACAGATTCGGTCAGCAGCTAGCACACACAAGCACTGTTCTGTATTTTATTCCATATTCCATTTTGACGGATGCTCCATCCCTGGCAGTGTTCAAGGCCACATTGGACAGGGCTTGGAGGAACCTGGTCTAGTGGAAGGTGTCCCTGCCTCTGGCAGGGAGGTTGGACTAGGTGATCTTTAAGGTCTCTTCCAACCCAACCCAGTTTGTGATTGTATGATGGTGCAATGATTTATAGGCAATGCTTCTGTCACAGACATTTGTGTGGCTTCTTTTCCAACGTGTCAGATATGAAAACAGTAAGTCTGAAATCTCAGCATATGTTTCCTTTACCTGCTTCCCGGCACAAGGACAAAGGCAGTTGGGATGGCTGTTTCCTGCATGTGACTCTGCTGGGGTCCTGCTGCAGGCAACGGGCTGCAGTCTGGGGGGGAGTGATGTCTGTGAGCCCACCAAGCAACCCATGGGAGAAAAGCATGGCCCACCTGCCAGGGGTTGCTTTACAGAGTCACAGAATCGTTCAGGTTGGAAAAGACCTTTAACATCATTTAGCAGGCAGTATGAGCTGAAGACTCAGCATGCTGGGGTTTGAAGGGTTTGACTTAGGACAGGAAAATTAATACAGAATCAGAGGGTTGGAAAGGACCATCAAAGCTCATCTAGCCCAAAACCCCTGCAATGAGCATCTTCAACTAGATCAGGCTGCTCAGAACCATCATCCTTGAATGTCTCCAGGGATGGTGCATCCACCCTCTGTGAGCAACCTGTGCCAGTGTTTTACCACCCTCATTGTAAAGAATCTGTTCCTCGCGTCCAGCCTGAATCTCCTCTCTTTAAAAGCATCACCCCTCCTCCTATTGTAACAGGCCATGCTAGAAAGTATCTCCCTTTTTTCTTACAGGCACCTTTTAAGAACTGAAAGGCTGCTCTGAGGTCTCCCTGGAGCTTTCTCTTCTGCAGGCTGAACAACCCCCACTCTCTTAGTCTTTCCTCATAGGAGAGGTGTTCCAGACCTTTGCTATACCCAGAATTAAAAATCAGATTAGCAATGTTTTGCCCCGAGTCGTGTTCGCTCCCCGCCACGCTCCGGCTGGGCAGCTTGCAGGAGACCTGAGCCGAGGGCCGGTTCCCCCACAGGCCCAAGGAGGCAGTGACACGAGTCCCCCAACCTCTGATCGCCATCCTCCCCCGCTTCCCTTTCACTGCGGCCTCCGCCTCTTAGCGGAGCTCCGCCTGCACGCCGCGCCGGGCGGAGCCTGCCCTTGACCCGGGCGCAGACGCCGGCCGGCGCAGCCGGAAGCCCCGTCGGCGGGCGGCGGTGGCTGGCCGGGGGAGTGCCGCTGCCCCCCGAGCTGCAGGAGGGCGGGGAGGAGGCGGCAGCGGCCCGGCAATGGGAGCGGAGCACAGCGCGGAGGCCGAGAGCCGCGCGGGCGAGTCTAGCACCTCAGGTGGTTGCTCGGGGCGGAGAGCGGGGTTCCCGCTGTCTGCCGGCGGCCCGGAGGGAGGGGATGCGGTGGCGTGGTGGTGCGGAGCTCGGCTTCGCTGCAGGGGCCTGGCGAAGGGGAGGCGGTTGCTGTGGAGAAGGGAACGGCTTTGCTTTCCCTTGTGAGGCTGCAGCTGGCGGCGGCCCGTCCCTTTCTCTGGGCGGGCGGGAGGGAGAACGCCGGGCCTTCTTCGGGCGTCACCGCCTGGGTCGGGGGAGGCAGAGGCGGCAGGGTGAGGGCCCTGTGCCTGGTGGCAGGGGTGGAACGCGGGGAGCGGCGTGCAGAGCTCGGGGGAGAGTACCGAGGAGTGTGTCAGTGGGGCAGGTGTGTCATGACCTGCCCTTCAAGGGTCTTGACAGACCTGTGCTGAACATCTTGTGTTCTTAAAGGGGGTAAGGGAGTTTGTGGAACTTCTGTGGTCTCAGTCGTGTGCTTACGCTATAAAAAACGTACCTGAGCTGTATTAAATATAGTGACAGATGCCTAGGGTTGAATTCTGATGGAATCTCCTTCTTGTTTTGACTGTTCTCTTTATCTCACGTATCCTTCCAGCATCTCCATCACCAGCCAAGCAGCGAGCAAAAATGGATGACATTGTGGTGGTAGCCCCAGGGACACAGCCCTCCCGGAATGTCAGCAATGATCCCGATGTCATAAAACTGCAGGAAATTCCAACTTTCCAGCCCCTTTTGAAAGGTAAGCTATTGTTCTTCCCCTGTTTTTAAAGGCCTTAGTTTTTCGGTTTGTACCTAATGGAGTGTGTGCTTTGTGTATCCCGAGGCTCCTGCTGATGTTCACGCTTCCACGTATATTTTTCACTACTCGTGTTGTTTCAAACCTTACTTTAATTATTCCCAGGCTTCTAAATAGCTAGGGAACTGGTTTAGAGATGTGTTGGTAGTGCTCACTGCAGTAGGCCCATCTACTGTGAAGATACTACAGCTCCAAGCATGCCAGCTTGTCCTGTACCACTGGTTGATGAGAGGTGCTGTGTTACGTTCTGATATATAATGGACTGCAGTCTCCAGTTTGGCTTTAGGCTTTTAACAACATCTGTGTGTTACTCTCTTGTAGGCATAGCTCCCTGTGTATGGGTGCAGTTGCTTGAAATCAAGATTATCTTGTGGGAATTTCTAACACAGCAGATCTTGTTCTTGTTTAGTGGGGTGGTTGGGCTGAGGATAGTGTGGGTCCTTGAGCCCTGTGTTGACAACATCCCTTTGTATCAGTGGACTTTATAAATTCCTTCCATGTCTTTTTGCTTTGTTTCTTTTTCTCCCAGTCTTTTTCTCTTTCTTCTCCTGCATTCTTTGTTCCTTCTGTTCTGTTCAAAGGGAAGTGAAGATTTAAATTGGAGTTGTGAGGCCTACATTTACCAAAAACTCTTTGTACATTTTGCAGTCAGGCTTCTAGCTACCTCTTTTTGTGGAGACCATGCAGTGTGTTTAATATCTGAAAGCCCCTTAGGAAGGAAGTTGTCTGGAGCAGCCTGCTGCTGAGCTCCTCTCTCTTGAAACAGCATGGGTCAGCAAACTTGTGTGAGTGGGCACTCAGTGAGGCAATGCTTTTTGAAAATGTGAGGCTTGCTGTGCATGCATACCTTGGCTGCAGCACTTGCTTGTGCCTGCGATGATAGAGAGGAAGGAGTTGGGATGTTTAGCCATCCCTGCTACTGGGAGGAATGATGTGGCTTTCCACAGCAGAGGGTTTAGGCACTACTGGTCTGAGTGTCACTGGTTCACACATGGTGGCTGAGAAGATAGGGCAGCCACTTTGCCCCGCAGGCATCTCTAGAGGTGATGTAACATCACATCACTTTTTGGACAGAAACTCTTTTTTGTTTGTTTGGTCATTTTTTCTTGTGTCAACTGGATGCAGACCTTGGAACATGACTAGAACTTGGAACACGGATGCTATGACAGCCCATTGGGACAAATATTTACTATATACTGCTTCATAGGGGTCTAGATGTGTGCAGCACTGACCACTGTTTCCAGGGGCAGAAAGACAGGCCAATAAATTGGAGAAAACCAAACATGAATGTTCTGGGGGTTGGTACTGCAGTCCCTCTCGACCAAGGACAGAATGTGTGTGTTAGTTATACTGCTGGGATTTTTTTGAGCTGTACAGAGAGTGATATTGAAATCTGTATCTGATTTATTCCTGACACTTTCAGTGCCATTTTAGAATGGACTATTAAGGTCACTGGTGCTGGCACAGCGTTCTTGTCAGCTGCAGGCTGGGTCATTCCGGGTGGGCAGAATATGCTTTGCTGGAGTCCTGCCTTGTATAAAAGGTGGAACCTGGATCTTGCCAGTGGCAGTTTAGAATGTAAGTGATGGAACCCAAATCCAGAAAAGAAATAAGGAAGTTTTAATTTGAAAAACCAAATTAGAAGGTGCATTAATATCCGGTACTGAGTTGTTTGTGCATGCAAAAGAACGCAATGACAAAGAGTTTCAGTTCCCCCCAGCCTTAAATGTGGTGAGTGAATCTGGGTTGCACAAGAGCTGTGGAAGTACTGTGAAGCGGGGTTCGTGATTGCTTCCAGAGGCGGTGTTCCTGTGTGGGTGTTTAAGGTGCAAGGGTACAGGGCTTGAGGTAGGAAGTGGGAAATAAGAGATAGTAACCACGTAGCTGAGAAAAAGATTGGAAGGCACTGCATAGATGGCCAGTGCAGGTCCTTTAACTCCTAAACACGCATGCATTGTTTGGTGGGAAGTTGTCTTGGTCACCGAGATGCTTTTCCTAGTCTTACTTTCGACCTGAAGCTGTATATGTAGGATACATACCTTTTCTCTGTTTATCGGTCGGCCTGCTGAATTTCCTTGAGTCTCTGGAGATGTGGTGACATCTGGTGACTGCGTATGAGTATTGCATGCTTAATCACTTCTGTGATTAAGATACGCACATAAAGGTAAGGCTTTTTCAGCCTCTTGCTACTTCTGTAGCAAATATTGCACCTCAGTTACAGCTATGAGTGTAGGGTCCTTCTGAGTAGTGTTTGCCTTCTTTGAAATTGTGTTGTGGTTACTGAGCGTGCGTAATAAGCAGTGTTTGAGAGGTCAGCATTTAAGATTCTGCTTATTCCAGTGTTTGAACCTGTTGGACATGGCTGGTTGGGGCAAGTATACTGTCCTGAAGTAGCTGTGTTGCCCCTCCTACAGTGAGTCAAGGACTGGAGCGTGTCCTTTTTATAATGGTAGGGAATGCCTTCTCTGGGCTGTATTCACATGGACAGAGAGGGGAGAGTTTCCCCTAACAGTGGGGTTAGGAAAGATCCCTGGGGATGACTGTTAAATTGCCATTTGCCAACATCAAATCCCAGTCGCACTTGAACTGAGAGGAGAAGAAAACATACTCTAACTACTTGTAAGGAATATACCTGGGAGTGAAGTGCCTGAAGCTGCTATATATTTGGAGTACAGAGAGGTCATGCATGCATATTTCTTTTGTAGGTTATGAGCAAAGCAGCCCATCTTAAGAAGGTGTTAGGAAAAAAACCTAAAAATGCAGTTTTCTGTGTGGTCGTGACTGCAGAAAGCTTGTAAGATATTACAGTGTAGGACTGCTGAGAACTTACTGGATCTGTGAAGTATCATGTCTGACTGGAGATTTGGCTTTTATGATCAGGAGGTCCTCTTTGAGGATTGAGGACTGTTGGCAAGAGATGAGATCCACTTGGCAAAGTGCAGTCAGAGCATCTTTACCAACAGGTGGGCCAACATGAAACAAGAGTGTTAAATTAATGATGATTAATGACCACAGTTAAGTGAGGAAGCAGTGGATAGGGTTGAAAAGTGAATGATGAATTTTTTTTTTCCATTCAGTTTTTCTTGGTAATTCAAGTAAGAGGGGTGGGGTAAGGAATTAAACATTGTTATAGGGCTTCCCAAAGCTTTTGAAGAGGTGTTTAGGTTTTAAGTTTGTGCTGTGAAAATGGAATGCTCACTGTGTTCTTCCAGAAGGCATCAGCATCTCAAGCCTAAAGAAAGGTGAGGTCTGTCTTTCTGGTAGCAGTGAAGTGTTAGGTAAACGAAAAAGGTGAATACATATGAAGGATCTATTGGTGTGTGTTACTAATATAGAAGAGACTGTTTAAGAACTAGTCATCCAAGTACAGGTACAATTCCTATTCTGAGCTAAGGTCAGCAAGACCTAAGGCAAACAAAAGCTTGAGAGTAGGAACAAAAACTTTGACAGGTGTACTGTTAAACACGCATTAAGCCAAGACCTGTCAAGGCATAAATTAGAAGTAAATGAATAGGTTATGGCTAACCCAGTGAGATCTTTCCTTACCATGCTGCCTATTATCCATATTTACATTGCTTCTTTATCAATAAATGTATTTCACAAATTAAAAAACGAGGCCTTTACTCTGAAGAATCTAGGGTACAGTTTACCTAGCAGTAATGTAAGAAAGAAACTGAAGTTACATGCCAGAAAGAGTCTTGAAAGATAGGTCCAGCATAAGGAGTGTCCTTTTTGTCTCTCAATAGGGTTTAAAGTGAAAACTTGGCAATGATATTTTTATTCTAGCTGATGCATGTCTTCAGCAGAGAAGCAAAAGGAGATGCTGAGAAATTTTCTGTGAGAGAGAACAGTGGTATAACTTGTGCTGGTGTACTGATGCTGTGCTGCTATTTTGTTGTTCTTCAGTCACGGGAAACATAAGCTTGTGTTAGGCAGCTTGAAAGGATTATTTATACCTTTATAATTTTTTTTATGAGGTCACTTTTTTCAGGCAAGAAAACTATTTGTCTGAAAAATATCAGTGTATTTATCTTTCTGGCATAGCAAGTAGAGGAAGGATGGGTGTTTAGAGTTTATTGCCTTTAAAGCAGTGTGTTTGGTCACATCTCACTCTTCAGTATTTTATGCTGATTTACATCCTCTCTTTTTTCCCTTACTCCAGTGTGTGCTACTTCTTCCATTCTCTGTTGTTTAGGGAATTTAGCTAATAGGGTATGGTAGTGAATTTTGTTCCTGTAATTCTTTATTCCTTCCAGTACTTCAGTCCTTTTTAGTTCCGCACTTATACCTTACATGGAGGATCTGTTTATTGCAGACTTGAAAGTATTGCTGAGGGCATAGGGCTCCAAGAGAATTTGCAACATCCAGGTTTGTTGGATGGACGTCTTGCTCATATTCGTATACCTTGTTACAAACACTAAGTTGGGCAGAAAGAAATACCAAGAATGATAATGTGCATGCACATCTGCTGGTGGGTTGTTTATTTGTTGGTTGGTTTGGTTTGGTTTTGGTGTTGGTTTGTTTTTCCTTTTTAATTAGTATTTTATTTATTTAGGCTTGTGGAGCTGTTTTCTTTATTATAGAGCTGTCTCTCTGTTATGGCTTCATGACTTGAAACTAACTCCTGAAAACACAATCTAGAAGATGCTTCAGTTCTGAGGAGAGGAACTTTCCTTTCAAAAGATAGCTGGAGGAGAGGAAGATGATGGTGACGTCCTATTTCCATGTGTTCCTCAGTGGTTTATGACTATTTGGAGACGTGGACTAACTCAATTTTATGTGTAAGAGGATTTGAGTCTGTGGTTAGGTATTATCCAGGCATTATGCTCAGCACTGGCTGGAGGAGCTCTGGGGACTGTGGATACTCAGTTGTCTACCATTTCCCCCCTGTCCCTTTGCAAGTTGTTCCACACTGTGTAGTATCGTTTGTGCATTGACAGATA